CATTGCAACATCTCAACATGTGATGAATGGTGAGTCCAGGTCAGGTGGCACAACTCCGACCCCAGTTCTTGCAGCAGTTGATGCCGCCAAACTGGAAGAGTAAAGGCTGCACTTGGCAGCAGGGCATCAGCCGTACAGGAAGGACTGTGCCACGTGTGTGGCATCTGCAGCGACAGGTCACGCGCATCGGCGCGTTGCTCACAAGACGCCATGTTCCCTCAGTCTAGACATTGCCGGACCCTTCAAGAAAGGAGGGAAGTCGGTAGATGGTGGCCTCACGTATTTCGAGAAGGATGTAAAGTATGTTCTAGTGGCATCCTACCGTGCACCCTTGACGTTCTTTAGACCTTCTGAAGAAACCGCGTCTGAAGACACTAAGCTTCCAGATGATGAATTTGAAAGTTTAGGGGTAGAGGGTCGAGCTTTGTTCGAGGAAGAGGCAGAGGAGCCGCGTCTCGATGGTGAGGAAGAAAAGGATGAGGAGGGGCTCCTCTTGTCGGATGAAGAACCTGCCAAAGCTGAGATGCGAAAAATAGTGGGTCCTTTCGATGGGGCGGTAGCGCGAGCTCCGAGGTATATGCCTCCTCGAAGGAGGTTTGCGCGCCTTGATTCTCAGGAATCCCAACGATGGTTCGACCCAGATGCGGCGACGGCGCTGCAGTTTTTGTTAGGATATCCCCCGCCACTCCAGGACAGTTGGGAGGACTTAGTAATCCCTTCTTTTGATGAGGATTGTTTGGTCGAGCATTTCATACCCATAGCATGCCATAGCCTTGTATATGAACAGAAACCAGGATTGGGATGAAGACTCGGATGTGGTGTTTGTTGACCAGGATGGGGAACTGGAGCCGACTGTCGTGGCTAAAGTTCTCAGGTATGAGGGCCATGTGAGTCCAGCACGAAATGAGTTCTGGTACTTCCGGGTTCATAATCTACTTGAGGACAAGGAAGAGACGTACTTCATTCTTGAAGAGTTCGGTGCCAGGCCGGATACCTTGAACTTTCCACCACGCCCGCCAAACTTGGTACCACCTCCGAGCCCGTTTGATGGATATGAGCCACCACCTCGTTTGGCAACGATGCAAGAGGATGTTGACTGTGGCGAGTATGTACTTTCAGAGTGCGAAGAACATGCCAACTCCAGTAAACCTCAGGATAAGGAATCGGAGGCCTCATGGTTAGGAGCTGATCTTGAAAACCCAACTTCAGTCTCGGAAGAGGTGCTATCAAAAGAAGCGTTGAAGGCCAAGGTTGAAGAATTGAGTAAGCCTGTTCCGCAGGGCTCAGTGATTTTGGCCAAAGCCCTCGTGTCACGCAAGGGATCCGAAGTCTTGATGGCACTTCAAGAGATTGTTGTTCAGTTAGAGCAATATGGTTTGTTTGTGTCCAAGGTGCACACAGACAGAGCGCGAGAGTTCCTCTCGTACAAGCGGGTGCGTTCCTGGCTTGCTTCAAAAGGAATAGCCAGGTCTTTCACTTCCGGCATTGAACCAGCCGCAAACGGCTCCGGAGAAAGTGCGGTCAAGTGGGTGAAGCGCCGAGTGCGGCAGCTCCTCGTCCTCATCAGTAGTAAGGCTCCTGCCAGCCAGTGGCCTGCGGCAATGCAATGGGCGGTCACCAAGCAAATCCGCGAGAAACTCCCTGTAGGTGACCCCAACATCCCACCATTCCATGCCAAGGTGTGGTTTAGGTCCAAAAGGTATGGCTTGCAAAAGAAGGGTCAGGACTTTGAGCCGAGGTGGGAAGAAGGATTGTACGCGTGTCCTTCGAGCACGGTGTCGAAGGCCACGTCATCATAAAGTCTACGGGTGAGTATACTACGTGCAAAGGGATCAAGCTTGGGGTTGAGCGCCTTGAAGAGTATACTCCTTTACCTGAAGTTGAGGGAACGATTGACATTCCTGCAAAACGGCTTCGAGAAAAAACGCGGTTGGCATCACTGGAAACCGAAAGGGCAGTGCAAGAATCGGAAGTCCTGGCCGAGGAGTTGCATAGGCTACTCGTGAGAAGTGTCAACTGCTTTTACGAGCTAGCGGCATTGAGAAATCGAACAAGCCGGGCGTGAGAGGAGCGCCAGAGAGCATGATCCTTGGAGGCTACGTGCAGGGTGGCTTCAAGGGTGCTACCAAGGAGACGTTGAGAAGACCGCACTTGACCAAGTTCTTGAATGAGTTCTTAAGGGATCATCTTGAGCAGCAAGGGCTTCATGGGCGTCCCTTGCTGTGTACCATAATCCCAATAGGGCTGCACAGGGATATGCGCAATGAGCCTCAGTCGCAAAACTTTGTCATGCAGCTTACAGACTGATTAGAAGGAGGGCTATGGATATCGGACAGCACTCTAGGAGAGCCTGTGGACATGCTGCTTCCCACGGGACACGAGCAAGAAGGTTCAAAGGTTCCCATTGATGGACAGGCGGTCGGTTTCGATCCTCGAAAGTGGCATTGTTTGGTGCCGGCGGTTCAACATGTGTGGGTCATTGCAGGTTACACACCTCGAGGTGTACTAGGACTCCCTGAACAAACCCGGAAGGATCTTCAGAGTCTTGGGTTTAAGTTTCCTAGTTGCAAGACCCTAGCTTCCCCCGCTGGTGTGGGCTACCTTTTTCCTGCAGGACGAAGGGCTGTTGCTGCTGCGAACAGTACTGCGGCCTGTAGTCGCGTACAGCGGTGAGTTGTTTCGAAGTTTTGCTTGTCACGGCAGGTGTAGCGACCGCTGGCTTCGGACCTGTGCTTACGGGTTTTTTCTCTGGCAAGCGCGTCTTTACTGGTTGGGGTGCTTCCCGGTCTTACATCTCAGAAGCCACGGTCAGCGTTGGGCAGGTTCTTATTCCTGCGCCACCAGCACCACCCTTGCCACCAAATCCTGTTCAAGCCTCCTCGCGCGTGCATTCCTCATCTTGCACGTCGCCACCTCCGCCTCCTCCCAAACCGCCGAGCGTGGGTACTAGGAGTAGGGTTGAAGAGGTTGTAAGCGGGGAACTGCAAAGGCAAGTAGAGAGGTGGCTTCCACGTAGGCAAGACAGCTCCACGCAAACGGACAGAGAGCTCTTTTGTCTGACAGGACATGAGACCATGTACAGCACTAGGAAGGGTGGAAGCTACCATTTCTTCAGAGATTGCGCAGCCATTCGGAATTCCGGGGTTGATTCGAGGAAGTTTTGCACTTTCTGTTTTAACAAGAGGTCCGGGACCGGATGACTTGGCTCAGTCTGTTTTTTAGAGAGATGGCATTCGCCTAGCGGCGATGCCAAGGAGGGGTGTTGAGGAACGTACTGCCCTCACCTCTTCCGAAGTCTTCACCGTTTGAAGTGACTTGCGGGAGCCCTTGAGGTTCTTCAAGCTAGAGAGTGCAAGGCCCCTATGTCAAAGGACTTTCAAGTCAAGATCCGGGCCAAAGGCCCAAACACCAACATTCGGCATAGAAGGGTGTAGCCTCTCAGAAACTTTCAGAGCTTTGTTTAGCAAAAAAAACCCGTGCGTTCGAGAGCCATGGTCCGTTTCTGTGGTCGGGATTCCTCTTCGGGGATCATCCGATAAAATCTGGAGCGAAGCTTGAGCCGACATGGAAAGCACGAATCCGAATGAGCACGATCTTCCAGATCATCAAAGTCGTACTAGAGGAAACTAAGAAACTTTCAGCGACACTCATTTTCAAAAGGTGCCTTTCGGGGAATTATAAGAGTCATTTCGTCTAGGTACTCGGCCCCACACAGCCCCACGCAACCCTTCAGAGTTTTAGCCCTGAGCTAGATTTTAGCTACTTTTAATCGTTTTAGAATACTTTAACGCGACCCCAATGCCTGCCCAACCCCTCCTCAAACCCACCCGGCCCTACTCGGCCCTACTCGGCCCCACTCAGCCCCAAGATTTTAGCTAGTTTCGAGTACTCTAAATGCGACCCCAATGCCTGCCCAACCCCTCCTCAAACCCACCCGACCCTACTCGGCCCTACTCGGCCTCACTCAGCCCCTTGCCCGATTAAAATGGCTGCCGCCAGTACTGCCAATCCCAGAAACCAACACCCTGGCATAAGTCGTCTGGAGCTGGACTCCGTGGCACTGTGAGAGGCGACCGCCGTACTCTAAAATTACTAATCCTGACCCCCTCATATTAAACGGGGAAGGGGCCCCCCCCCGCAATAAATATTCGAAAAGTATTTCTATAATTAGGGGGTATTCTTATCTCTACTGCCATGTTTCAGAAATCCACGATTTCTAGCATCGCGGCTTGCACAAAGATTCAGCTTTTTGGGCTCATGTCATGCAGGGCTGGATTGTGCTTGATTGTAGTACAAATTAGTACTGGAAGTGCTTCGTTTCAGTAATACAACATGGAAGTGCCTCGTTTCGGATACTGGCTGGATGCTGCTTGATAGTCTCGTTTTGGACTTGGATGCTGGGCTGGAGTGTGCTACATTAGTACTGGGAGTCTGGCTTAATGGCCAGCCTGTCTAATCAGCTCCACTTGGCCTTGGCTGGATGCTGCCTGGATTGTGCTTGATTGTAGTACAAGTTTAGTACTGGCTGTGCCTCGTTTCGGATGCTGCCTGGACTGTGCTTGATTGTAGTACAAGTTTAATACTGGCTGTGCCTCGTTTCGGACGCTGCCTGGATTGTGCTCGGTTGTAGTACAAGTTTAGTACTGGCTGTGCCTCGTTTCGGACGCTGCCTGGACTGTGCTTGATTGTAGTACAAGTTTAATACTGGCTGTGCCTCGGTTCAAATGCTGCCTGGATTGTGCTTGATTGTAGCACAAGTTTAGTACTGGCTGTGCCTNNCTCCTTTCGGATGCTGGCTGGATTGTCCCACAAAAACCACATTCCAAGATGTGGCCCCCACAAAAAACCACATGGCAAGATGTGGCCCCCACTACAAACGACATTCCAAGATGTGGCCCCCACTAAAACACATGGCAAGATGTGGCCCCCACTAAAAACCACACTCCAAGATGTGGCCCCCACTAAAAACCACATTCCAAGATGTGCCCCCCACTAAAAACACATGGCAAGATGTGGCCCCCACTAAAAAACCACATTCCAAGATGTGGCCACCACTAAAAACCACATTCCAAGATGTGCCCCCCACTAAAAACCACAGGGCAAAATGTGACCCCCATTAAAAACCACATGGCAAGATGTGGCCCCCACTAAAAAACCACATTCCAAGATGTGGCCCCCAGTAAATACCACATTCCAAGATGTGGCCCCCACTAAAAACCACAATACAAGATGTGGCCCCCACTAATGGCAGTGCCGGCCATAGCTCAGTGGCAAGCGCATGGCCTTGCAACCCCTCGGCAGCGCGCGCTCAATCCCCGGCGGCGCTTTTGGGCCGTTTCCAAAGCAAGCACCGATTTTTTTTGGGTGACCGATGGCAATTGGGCCTTGACTGGCTTGCAAGTGGGTGGTCAGGCGGAATCCGGAATCGAGATTTTTGACTGACCAAGGGCAATCGGGCAAGTTCTCCATCCGCAATGGAGATTTTGCTCGTTTCAGATGCTGCCTGGATTGTTGCTTGATTGTAGTACAAGCTTAGTACCGGCAGTGCCTCGTTTCGGATGCTGCCTGGATTGTGCTTGATTGTAGTACAAGTGTAGAATGGTGATGACGGTGATGGTGGCTGCTTATACAAAGCTTCAACTTCTGGTCTCATGCCAGTGCCTTGTTTCGGATGCTCTGTGCCTCGTTTTCAGGGGTCCCTCTCCGATGAAACCTTGCTTTTTCGAGCCGACTCTTGCATTGGAGGTGTTAGCCTGCTCCCAGCTGTCGGGTGTGGCTGGGCACAAAACTCTGTCGAAAGTTGTGCCTCCTGTCACGTGGACCATTCAGAGAGCGCGCCAACACCGGTCTGGGGCAAATCGACCGGAGTTTGGAGTTGGAGGTGTTAGCGACGGCTCCTTTTTTTGGTCATAGGCTAAAGTTCAGGGCACCCTAAGAGCTTGATTGTGTGGACTTCGAGCTCCTGGAGACTCAACTGGTTGGCTGAACTTCGGGCACCGCTCTCATGAGCCCCTGATGATGAACTCACGGTTTGGACCTGAAGCGACCAGCAACTGGGCGCTGGCACTGAAGCTGAGCAGGGAACTACTGGGAATGGCGGCGACTACCACTCCCCGGACTCCCACCGGGTCTGCGTCTTGCTTGCAGCCTTCGGGTCCCCATGACCATTTTGGATGGCAGGCTGGAGTGTGCTGGATCGTAGTATGACGAGGTGTGGATTGTGCTTGATTGTAGCACAAGAACAGTACTGGTTGTGCCTCGTTTCGGATGCCTGGATTGTGCTTGATTGTAGCACAAATTTAGTACTGGCTGTGCCTCGTTTCGGAGCCTGGATTGTGCTTGATTGTAGTACAAGCTTGGTACTGACTGTGCCTCGTTTCGGAGCCTGGATTGTGCTTGATCGTAGTACAAGCTTAGAACTGGCTGTGCCTCGTTCCTG